GTTGAATCATTGAATATGCTAATATTTTGGTTGAACTGTAAACTGACTTCAAACGAGCTGACTTAACATTCTATAAAACCATATGCCTAAATATCTTTGAAGCAATTTCATCTATAATTGGAGCATGCATTAACAGTTTGATCCCAGTAAAAACAGATGATAACAGAAACAACTTCCTGACAGTTTAACTTAAAGGAGAACAATGTAATAACCTTTTTTACACCCTGAGACTACGCATAAGAGGTTATGATGTGGATCATAGTGGGTACTCGATCGAGCTTCTGCAGAATTCATCCAAAAGTTGATAGAAGACAGTGACTTNCCCCCTAAAAGTGTGGGCTGCATCAATTCAGATAGTTGACGTTAAGAAAGTTTCATGTAAGCAGCTCCGGTATAAAAAAGAGTTATGCATACCGTCTGAATGTCTTGTCTCAAAATCTTGAGTTGAACCTTGTTGATGTTAAACACAAGGGGTGAATAATCTAAATCAAGTAGATTTTCTGAAACGATAGAATCATTGCAAAATTTGAAGCGAAGAGCAAAATCATATCAATACACCAGAAGCACAAAGACAAAAAGTTGAATATCATCTGAACCTGTGCTAGGTATATTTGTCCAGGTACATGGTCCTCCTCAGGCATCGGGCAATTAGGCATAGGAGTTAAACATGAAGACTCTTAGCCTCAACAACGGAACCATTCCCTTTGCTTCTCAAATGCTGCTTGCAGAATTCGACAAAATCCGAGAAGGGCAATGATACCTACAGGACAAAGAAACAATTCAAGCTCAAATCAGCTAAATCCGGCTACAACGATATTGTAATTCAAGAGACTAGCCATTCAAGAACCGAGAAATGGAGTCATGGCTTCCGATATCACCATTGAAAATCGGAGCAGTCCTTGAAGCATAGCCTCCACCTCAATTCAACCTGCACGTTCCTTCATATAATCCAAGCGACGCATAAGATTTCGCTCAATCTTCGACTCACAGAAAAAGGAAATGGAAAATTCGAATCAAGTGAGAGGTAAGGAAATGTTGGAGTTGATCAAAGCATGGAATAAGTCAAGGTGGGAGACGTGGTCCGAGTTTGTAGGAATGTGTTAGTGGAATAAGTTGTGAAAGCCGAGTCTTATGCTCGTGCTTGGTTTTAGGAGTTTATTGTTTATTTGCTTCCATGTAATCAAGTCTCCTTCTATATAAGGAGCAATCTGTTTTTCATTCAATGATCAATTAAAAGGGCTTTGATCGAATTCTCTGTTTTATCCATTTTTAAGATTTGGTATCAGAGCTTTATCATTAAAC